GTTTATCATCTTACAAGTTATTGGGATCTTAAGTTGCTGTTAGCATTTTATGAGTTCATACCATTTTAGCGGAGTGTTCTTGCTGCTTATTTTTAGTCAGCTCTATAGTTTGACTTAATGAGGCATTAATAACTAATGAATGTGAGTAAACAAACAAACTGCTTATGATTTCTAGTCCATTTAATGGGCCTTGCTTTGTACCTTAGTGCCTTTCTTATTGGTTTTCTATCTGATAGTCCAAACCTATGAGATGCAGCATTAGCAATGTGACTTACAAGATCATCAGGCAGTTGCGTCACAGCACTGCAGCCATTGCTTACCACTTCCTCATAATAGTTTTGAGACCCAGCTGATATGGCAACGTACATCATCACTGTTGTGCTTCCCTGTAGTTCAGTCTACAGCAGTTGTGCTTTTTCTAACTCTCATGGATGTGGACTGAAGCAGGGAGGGGCATCTTTTAGAGTGTCCCACCACAATCTGACATATCAGCTACAGTGAGTAATGGCCCCAAAGGGGCTTGTACAGAGATGTTCTTCAGTTCCTATCAGTATATTTGTGAAGTTAGATTATTAATCTTTTGCTCCACTGTGTGTACTTTTCTAGTTCCTAACTTCCAATATGCGCTGATGGGATTAGAAGTAGTGGTTTCTAACAAGGTAAGAAAACTTGGAATCATAGTGGGCTTAGTGTGTATTGCACAACTGTGAAGAGTGCTCATTTCAGGAAAGGGGTTGAAAATTAAATTGCTAGTATCCCGATGCCATTATGCAAAACTGTGGTAAAGCCAAACTTGGAATGCTGTGTACTTTTATGGCTCCCATATCTCAAAAACTGTATTGCAGAGCTGGAAAAGGTGCAGAAAATATCAACTAAGCTAAACCAGGGGCTGGAGAATCTTCTCTGGAGTATATTGCCAACCTTGGAGGTTTTTATTTGTTTTAAGAAAAAGGGAGGACATGATAGAGGTTTAGAAAATTATGTGCTGTACTGCATGGAGAAAGCAGGTAGAAGTCCCCCCCCCCCACATAATACTGGAACTTGGGGTCATTCAGTTAAGCTAATCAACAGAAGAATCAGGAAAGTACTTCTTCTCAGACCACATAATTAATTTATGGAATTTGTTGCCATAAGATGTGGTGATGACCTCTGCCTTAGGTGGATTTACAAGGGGATGAGACAAATTCATGGAGGATAAGTCAGTCAGTGGCTACTAGTCATTATGGCTATATAAACCAGGTCCTTAAGCAAAAGAGTCAAGCCTTGGCCTTTCCTTGCTTTTCTCACTGGCTGGGCCACCCAACTTAATTGCTGCCACCACCTGCCAGCTTTTGAGTCTCTCCAGAATGCTTGTTCCATCTCTATGCCTCACTGTAAGGAAATTCCCTTCCTTAGAGTGAGACAAAGAGGAGGTGGAGGTGGAAAGACCAACAGTGCTAAACACTTAGGAAGTATGGGTGGGTGAGACAGTGGAGAGGAGAAACAACGAGGAGGAAAGGAGTAGTACAATTGCCAACCTTTTATTCCTCCCTTTATGCTTCCTAAACTGACTTGAGATGGTTGGAGAAAAGGAAAGACAGAAAGAGAAATGCATGGAGAAGGAAAGGAGGGACCCACACATGTCTTTCTCATATTTTCTCTGCTCCCAGAAGAACATTATAAGAGCCCTGCTGGATCAGACCAGCAGCCTCACAGCAGCCAATTGCTAAGGGAAGTCTGCTGGCGGAACATGAGCACAACAGCACTGTCTCTTGTGGTCCTTCAGGCACCATAGAAGGAAGCTGCTTGAGATGTCCTGGGAGATGAGAAAAAATCAGATGGAGACAGGGATATTTAACCTCCTGCTTTTTCCATTTATGGAGCTGAGAAGTAAGAGAAGGTGTCTGTAATCCCATTCCATCCCCAATATGCTTTAGAAAGCATGGAGATGAAGGAGATAGTGGGATAAGGAAAAGGGAAATTGGATGCTTTTTCAGGCCGCTTGGGAAAGTAGCTTGACCTGACATTATCCATGTAAAGTGGCCATAGAAAAAGCAACTTTTCACCAGGTATTCAACTTTCCAAGTCACTATACACTGGGGGCAGATTCCTTGTTCATCCAACAAAAATCCTACTGATTTGTGCCCATCAGCCTAATGAAAGATGAAACAAAATGAGATGTCAATTCTAATGTAAACCTACATTTTTTTCTTGTAGCTCTAAGGAGGTCAATACTTAGCTTGACAGGTATCTATAGTGTCTTGCCCTTGTATGCATTTTTGTTTAGCCAGTTTCTCAAGGAGACTTTCGTAGACTTTGCCTGGTGGAATTAAACAGTCTATCCTGCAGCAAACAGAATCTTCCTAATTTTTATGATTGCTGCATCCTTGGGTAGCAGCCTGTCAGACAGTGCAGTTCATTCTGGGTTTTGGCGGCAGATCAAAAAAAGTGTCTGAAGAGTTTTTAACTTATGAACCTTAACGGAAGTCACAGAGTGAACTTGAGCATTCCATTGCTGCAAAAACAACAGCAGCTATGCATCTGGAATAAATAGTCTATGGTTGAACCTCACAACAAATTATGTCAGATTCTTACTTCAGAAGACATGCCTTGATGGGATTGCATTTGGTAATGTTAGCTGGCCCCTGTTACCCAGGTGACAGTGTGATGACTCACAGCATTACAACGAATAGAGACATTTGCCAGTGGCACATAGCACTGGGAGATTCCCCCCCCCCAACTGATGAGGCTAGCAACAAGGTTAATAGCTTGATCATCACATTGTGTGGCACGTTGCATTGGAGGCCCTACTCTAAATGAGGACTGGGAATACTGGTGTGGAAACAGCTATCCCATAATGTCTCTTCAGTAATTAATTTAAGTGCTACAAAAATTATCATATTTTTATGCTGTTCGGTGTATCATTTCAAGACTCAATGGATTTCCTGTATTGTGTGTGCTCTCTAGCTGTGCTTTGCTGAGTTGGTTGCTGTCACTGCATAGCCGTATCAAATAGTTAAAACAAATAAAAACAAATTGAGCATCTCAAATGTCTCCCCAAAAAAGGTCTTTTTCATATATATATTTTTCATTTTAGGAGACAGCAATGGATGGTATTATTTAATGCCTGCCATTCATTACCCTTAGAATATTGTTAGGTGGAAAAATTACCGGCAAGAAAGTTTTTATGCAACAGATTTTGCAACTCTGATGCAGCATAAACATTGGACCCTGGCAGGAGACTTTTGGTGCAACAACATTTGCAACCTAGCACAGCAGCTGAGGTAGCAACTGACAGTTACAATTCCTGAGCCTACTCAGGACGTCCTTTCACTCTGCAAACTTTATCCTTTCTATTTTATTTCAGTCTTAGACATTGATCTACAGGCTGAGCACTATCACTTGCACAGTTAGAATTGGGTGTTTCTTAGCCGGCGATAGCCTGCACAGTATGGTTAAAATGTAATACAATGTCACTGCATATGATGTCATGATAAGCATGTGTTCCCTGAGTGTTCTATTTATAAATGCAGCTTTTGTTCTTTTTTAAAAACAACAACAACAAAACCTTTATTTACAGACTTTCCCCTATTTTCTAACTGATTGGCAAAGGTGTGATATTCCTTCATCAGAGATGTTAGGGTTTTTTTTTTAAGCTTCCATTTTGGTGCACTGCAGTGCAGACTTTGGTTTAACTGGCTGAATTGATATTCTGAGCAGCAAGTAAGCAAGGATGACAGAGCATCCGTACAGCTACTCCTATTAGTGCTCAGGGAGGTGTGCTTGGTTGCAATTGCATGCTCCATCCAAGATGCAGCCCAGTCACGAAGCACTGCTGTCACTAAGATAATCTAGAAAAGCTTCCAACTTGAAGCATAGTAATATTTTACATGCTTAAAGGCACAGGGTTTCTTGCATATCTGCCTGTTTCAAAACTTGAATGCATGGCTTCATGCCTAGACTCTGACCCTAAGAATGTTATGGGGCCTAAAATTATCTGAAATTTAAATTTGTAAATATGCCACTGCCAGAAATTTGTAGAATTTTAGAATTTGCTTATACCATCAATTCATGTAAAATGAAGTATTTACATCCAGTACACTGTTGCACTATTTGGACATAGAAGAAATTACCACTTCCCCTACTCAAAAACACTGCTCTCATTCCCCACAGATTCTTCAGTTTTAATAATTCTAGCTGTAAATTGAAATGCCTCTGTGGAAATGCACTGCAACAAAAAAGAAGCACATAAAACAAATAACTTACCAGTAAGCAAAAAAGTGCCTATTTTAAAAAAAATATTGGGGGGGGGATTTGCATTTTGGAAAAGTGTGTTGCATCTTCCTTCCCTCCCCATTTCACAAAAGTCTGTGCTTTACAGGGATTGAAATAAATATTAGTACTGAACATTTAAATCTAGGACAGTGTTCTATTTTGCTTCATAGGTTAATGTACTGATTAAAATGTTCTGGTTACCCACATATCGTTATTTCAAATCCTTTAAAAAGAAAGGGGAGCAATGATGTACTCTAATGTACTCATGTCTTGTAGACAAAATCATGCTACATTTGCCTCAGAGATTGGAAACATGTTGCCTGTGCGTATGTGTTTGTGCACACGCGTGTGCAAAATCATGGTGCTCTGTTTACAGAATGCTGCTTTTGTAAATGCTTTTACCTATTTCCCCATTAGTAAAATGAGTTTACAACTGAAATGCGAAATTTTGATCAGGTCTGCAAATGATTAATAGGGGGGGAAACAACCCACACCAAATCCTGGTTAACCTTAGAGACTGAAATCAAGAGTCTCTGCAGTCTGGATATCCCTTCTGTAGAGATGCAGTAGTGAACAGACTTCTCCCCTTCCTCTCCGCTCCACCAACACGCATTCACTCCCCCCTCCCTCCCGCTTTCTCCAATGATAGTGATAGAACTTGACAGTCCTTGTCCTTGAAGGTTTCTCCCATAAGTGGCATATTCCTGGTAGTTTGCCATCTTCCGTTTTTGTCATTATCCCAAGGGAAGCATTAAAACCACAAACAACAACATGGTGGTTCAGTCCATTTTCTTTGCAAGAAAAAGCCTTCCTTTCCGTGCCGCCGTTGCTGTTTGCCCTCCTCCTCCGGCTGTCTGCGACGGCGAGCCATAAACATTCCCTGGGCTTTGCTCTCTCCTTCAGCAAGATGCTCGCTCGGAAATATCCGCTCCTTCCCCCCACCTGCTCGGTCTGGATGGTACAGTCTGCAGAGGGACTCCTGTAATGTAGCTCAGTTTGTCAATCCCTTACAGATGCCGAACAGTGATTACTCCGCTGTATAATTGAAATAATTTTGGATTTGTGATGATAGCTTAACCAAGTAAGTAGCAGCTTCCCAATCATACTAGCTAATTTTTTTCTTCCTTTCAAGGAGGCATTCCCCTTTCTATTTTGAGATTGTTTATTTGGCAATTTGCATCCCGACCCGCGGAGGCAGAAGCTGATGGGGGGAAATGGTGTGCAGATTTGGAGGACTGAGTGATGCATTAGATTTTAGTTCATGTCCTTGTGTCTCTGGAAAGGTAATGCAACTTCTACATAAAATATTATAATGGGGGGGGGGAACTACACTGCATAAAGCGACTACTGCAGTGAGAGGCAAACGATGTGGCAGTACTTGCAGTTTCTTTTTAAAAGTCTAAACAGTACTGTAATGATTTTGTATAAGCCAGTTTTTAAACAAAGTCTGAGGAAAATGTGTGTGTGATATTCTTTCTGTTGCTGTTGGTAAAAAACAGATTGGGGCTTGTTTGATTTACAGTGTAGAAGATTTGCCAGATAGAGCTTTTCAACTATAACTTTAAACAGTGAAAACACAGCATTGTATAAAGACATGTATACATTTTAACAGGGTGTAAGACTGGAATGACTTTATTATGCATTTGCTGTATAGTTTCAAACTCAGGGTAATGTTGACCTACACAATTATTCCATCTTTGCGAGTTAGAATGCACTGCTGTCCATGAAGCCAGGAGATTTTCTCATCTTTTAAATAAGTGGGACATCACATTTCTTGAATAAAACTATTTGCCTTGATACTATAATTAGTTCAGAATATAACCTGACAGTTCTCAAGTCAAAAGCGCTCATAAATGGTGCATGGTAAATCTTTGCCTGTTTCAGGCACAGTTATTGATTTAACAAACATCACTGGAACGCAGGAGGCTTTTCCCCATTATGTAAAGAGAGATCCTAGTCATCTGATCTCTAGTTTAAGATGAGGCATCTGTCTGATTTGTACCAGGCAGCAGTCAGTCCGTCTCTTTTGTAGACTTTGATTTATGTCCTATGCAAAGTTAGCCAGTTTTGTTACACTGCACATTGTCACCTTTGACTTAATGAGATGGTTCTTTTAGGTGGTCCTGGAACCATTGAGTAGCTAGCAGCTAAAGCTTTCACCTTCTAAAAGATAGGAAATGAATCTTGTCTTTAAAAACAATTTTTAAGAATCCCAGGGGTGGGGGCGGGAAGCAGTGTTTGCAATAACACTGCATTCCTTCATGCATAGCAAGCACATGTATAAATTAAAAGACTGTAGGACAGCTGAAGCTTATATTCATTTGACCTTTTGATTACATGCCCTTACTTATGATATTAAAGGCTAAAGTCAGCATTATAGTGATTAGGGTGCTGAAAGATACCGGGAATACTTGTATACAGACAAACTGTGCCTTTCCTTCTAGAAGGGATGTGTATAATAATGAATTAAGTGCAGGAAGAGAGAGACTGTGCATAATCTAAGAATGGCTCATCCTGTCTGTAACAAACAGAGAGTTTATAGCTCTGCTTTGAAATATCCACATTTTTCTGTTGCTGGTGGTTTCTGGGGCCAGTGTTTCATTTGGGAAAGGTCACCCATAAGCATGATTATTAGCTCTCCTACTTTGCCTGTAAATAACTAGTCGACTTGGGTTTCCAGCAGGTATTTGATCACATTTGACTTTCACTTTGTTCACCTGCCTTTCAGTTTGTTCTGAATGGCTACCTGCAAAGAGAGTGTTGCATATTTGCCCTGAAGTGCTGGTAAAAATGAGCAGGGTTTGCAAATAGCACAAGAACCTGGGGGTTCATGGGAGGTTATTCATAGCAATGCAGCATCATTATATTTTCTTTGTGCCTGTATTCCTGTGGAGAATTGATTTTGACCAGCACATCACAGTTAAATATACTTACATTTCCACAGGAGAAATGCTCAGTCCTCCCCATCCCACCTTCAAAAATGAAGAGAAAAAGGAGGTTGGCATCTTCTGTAGTTGATGCACATATAAAAAGGCTCCATGTGTTCATATTGATGCAGTATTTGAGGGTGGCTTTATTTCCCCCTCCACTAGAACTGTAGCATAGGAAAGCATAAGAAGATGAAAGACACTGTGCTTTTGGAACACTTGCAGGAAAACGATTTTAGAAGAACATTCATCTTACAATTCAATATGTATCTAGCAAACCATTCAGAAATTTTATTTCTGAATGCCCCCAGTTACCTGCTAAATACTGCTGGAGACTGTTGTATGTGCTGTGACACTGTTCAGCTAAATTGTGCTAGGATTTATTTTTCTCAAAAATAAAAAAAAACCCCTCTTTAGTCATGCTCACCACTTTTGCCAGGTCCTTTTCCAAAAGCTGATAAAGCATTTTCCTCATTTCTGCCAGATTTGTCCTTATAATTGCACATGGCTCTTTTGTCTAGGTAGAGCTATAATTATTTCAAATTCTGATGGGACATTATTAAGAAGACATGACCTTGTAAGTACAAGCCAACCTTGTTGGCTTATTACACTGCAGTAAAACTCTAGGACCTGATATTTAGGCATTTCGTTTAATTGGATAGTGATACATGTTACCAGATCTGAAATACATTTGCCCATGCCTAGCCTTTTAACAGTGCTCAGAGACAAGATGACAACTGACAGTGGTACCTTGCAGTGAAAGTTGCATAATCTCCTCTTTTATCTTCAACTGGCAAGAAATGCCTTCTTAGGCAATGGACCCATGCTTCTCAGATTTCCTTTTAAGAATAGGCAAACATGTTAATTGCCACTGTATCTATGCCAAGACACTGAAAAGAAAAAGACTTGTTACTAAATTCATTTAAAATAAAAACTTGGGAAAACTTCAGAAAACCAAGCTTGCAGTTCTGCACAAGTCTACTTTGGAGTAAATCTTATTGAACACACCGGGGCTTCTTTCTGAGTAAATAGTTAAGGAATGGTTTGTATGGTTGCAATCCTATGACTATTAAATAAAAGCAAGTCATGCTGTAATTCTTCTAGATCATTTGCAAATTTATGCTTAACTTTACATAGTCATAGCCTGCATATTTTGAGATTGTAATAGATTTCTTTCCCTCTCTTTTTTAGAACACACTTGCAACCCAATCCAACACATGCATTGTTAATTTGGAATCTCAAGTTCATAAATATTTTCATAGCATTGCTCGCTTACTGTAGATTGAAAATCTACCTTTTAGGTTTCAATAGCTTAAATGTGGGGTGTCAGCATTCCTGATACTATAATAGTGTGCTGGTGATGAATGCAAGGTTGCATGATGTGTGAGGTCTTCATTTGGTTGTAGCATAGTGGCTAAGAAACTGAGATGGGGAAGAGTCTCTGGTTCTAGTCTCACTTCTGCTGTGAATTCACTAGGTGGCCTTAGCAAGCCACTGTTCTCTCAGCATCTCCCTTTTTTGCAATTTGGGAATGATAATACTTAACCTTCTCTACAGGACTGTTGTAAAGATTACTAATAGAATATTTTAAAAAGCATTTTGGGTATCTGAAATTTCTATTCGCTAATTATTACCGCATCTGTTGCTGAGGTTCTTTTTTTGTCAATTTTTGTCAATCAATAGGAAAGACCTTAGCAGCGCAACCTAAGATATAATATACATGCCACATTTTTATTTGCAATACTTATTGTAAAATCAAGTCACTTTTTCATTATTCAAATGGAATTCTATATATGTTCTGTGTATAATTGAATTGTGCCCAGAACTTAAGAAAGAATATTGAGCTTTTCACATTTGCTGTTTAATCTTAAGAAAACCCGGTACAACGTTAAGTTGTACTCCATAGCATATAGGAAGGGAAATATTCTGTGGATGCAGTGGGGTAAACATTTTGTAGCCTTATTTACAAAATAAATTCCACATTCATGAGTTAAACCTTTAAACAGCGGAGGAGAATGTGTTTTATGCCTGAGGACCACATTCTTTCATAGAGAACCTTTCATAGAGGCTGTATGCCAGTTAACCACCCCCCTCTGTATCCCCCCTCTCTCACACATACCTATTCAAACACATACACACACATACACAATCCATCTACACCCTTGTCCATCCATGCCATGCTCTAGTTCTGAACAATTCTTACCAGTTCGATTGTGAATTGTACTACAAACCATGCAGAAACACAATATATTCTCAACAGTAGGCACAGCAAATCTCTTGCTTTACACATGCAGTCCCTTGCTTTGCTTTTGCAAGGAAACAATTAATGCACAGGTGTCTATCGTGTTCTTCAGTGTGGGAATAAACCATGCTTGTTAAGCATTCTGGGCTGCACTTACGTAATGGCATTTCAAAAAAAGCTGGTATGGTGCAGTGGCGCCAGTCTTGTATTTAGGCCACAGACACAGAAACAAATTCCTGCTCAGCCATCAAGCTCACTAACCACATTTGGATATTCTGTTAAACTATAATTTAGCGTGACAAAAATTAGCAATGTGCAAGTCTTGGGCTTGCACAACCCCTTCCTCCTCTGGGAGAGCCGCACGGAGTTCAGAAGCCAACTGCGGCTTAACAAAAAAAAAACACATACACCTGTGGTCAATGTTTTGTTTGAAACAAGCCACCCTGAAACCAATGAAACATATTGGGCCAGATTCAACTGAGTAGCTGCACTAGCAAGAGCCAGTGCAGGGACTTTGCTATCACAGTGGGATTTTCCCACTCCTCCCCTTGTGTCCCCAAATCAGTTTTAAAGGGGGAGTGGTCAGGAGGCTCTCTAGAACTGCATGGGGTGGGGAGAGAGGGGAGAGCAGAAATGCCTGTGGTCATGGAATGTTTGTGTTAGGGTGATGTTGAATTGCAACCTTTGTGTCTGCTAGTCGACATGTATTCTAGAAGTGTGCATAAACAATTAAATAATAAAGCACTGCAATGATGGGGAAATTTGACTGGCTCCTTTTCTGCAGAGGTGAGTATTTACCCTAGTTAGCATTTCCAAACTGCCTGAGCAAAGTTGTTTTGCATCAAGTATTTATACCTACCAACATCTGTAGTCCAGAAGGGGTAGATATAGGCTCTACATTCAAATTTTAAG